CTTCATCTCTCATTTTCATGTCTATTTTGGGTCCAGCGTTTCTCTCTCTGAAGGAAATGCCCTCCAGGTGGCGCCGCAGAGCTTCATGGATCACATCATACAGAGGCTGCTCCTGCACATGTGTGAACACACAACGTTCTGGGCATAAACACACAACACTCAGCATCTGTGTGGTGACTGCCAGCAGTCGCACTAAAGAGACGCCGAGGCTGCTGGAACACAGGAGGAGCAGGTGCACCTGTCCAGGTGTGCACCTGTTAAATGTACTATTAGTGCTCTGATTAATAAACAGCTCGTTAGGATCTTTGTAGTTTAGCCTCCTGTTGGGTCAAAGGTTACACACCAGCTAGCTATGTCAGTGTACGAGTGCTGACTGCTTTGTTAAGTTTGCAGTGTTCAGTGAAGCCCTGAGATAAGCCGCCTGAAAATGAACTTAAGGCAAATATTTTCAGTACTGTGCAAAAATCTTGAGCCACCCCCCCTCATGTCTTCATATTTCAGGGACAATAGGTGCAGCGATTCATTGAAACATCCAGAAATACAGTCAAACAGCACAGAGTCAGTATTTGGATGATCCCTGTAACACAGCCTGAACAGCTCGTCTGAGTAACCCTGAAGAACATTTCTCTGTTCCTCTCAGTCATGATGATCCCACACGCTGCATGAACACAGTCTGCATCCTGTTGTACACAGTGTGTGTGTGTGTGTGTGTGTGTGTGTATGTGTGTGTGTGTGTGTGTGTGTGTGTACATACCACCTCTCCAGGTTTACAAGGCTCGCAGTCATCAGTGGGGTACATGCGTGTGACAGGGCAGCTGAGGATCTCCTGCCCTCTGGGAACCTGGGTAGTGTAGTCCTGAACACAAGGATGTTTGTTTAAGATTTAATGAGCAGCTTGTTAAACACTGACGTTCAGCATCATTGATCCTCTCATTGAAGGGCTTCCAGTGCTGTTCCATACATGAAGTTTTTAACTCCTCACTCCCGGCGCCGCGCCCTCACCCCTCACTCCCGGCGTCGCGCCCTCACCCCTCACCCCCGGCGTTCCGCCCTCACTCCCGGCGTCGCGCCCTCACCCCTCACTCCCTGGATGCACTGCTCACTCTGCTCTCTCTTGTTTCTAGTTTAAGTCCACCTGTGAAATTCCCAGCAGCTCCCACCTGGATGCACTGCAGCCACCACCACACAGCGTC